GTAATGTAGCTTCCCTGTTTTTTTTTTTTTTGTTTTTTTTTTTTAATATTTCAAGGTAATTATTCTGGTGCCTCTATGGGCTTTAAACTCATTGGCATCTAGGTCTATTCATCTTAGAGTTGAATTGGCTAGATGTAACCGTAAGTTCTATGCTAAAGTTTTCTTCTGTCGCACTCCTCGCTTGTGGAACCCTCTTCCGGCTTCTTGCTTCCCAGCCAACTTTGATCTTTAAAAATATAAATGCAATGTCAACCGTTATCTTTTGCCTTCTTGATTCTCTTTCTTTTATTGTTTTCGCTCCTTAATAATGTTTAACTTTTTTCTTATACTGTAACACTCAGTATCGCCTTGTGTGGATTTATTGCCTTGCTTGGGGTGAAATGATTTTAAAAATAATAATGCTAAAGATTGTCTTCTGGTAAGTGATACGCTGACTTAAGACTGAAAGTAGAAAGAAAATGAAAGGTTATCTATTTAAACAAACGATCCATGAGAAGAGGAATAGCGCGCCACATTCCTCAGAGGCTAAGCTTGAAAATCTTCTTAATGGTTGCCTCACTATCATTTCGCATATTAAAAATCATCATTCAAATATGTTTAAAATGTTTCACAAATCTTTTTCTGTCAATCAGCAAGGAACCAGAAAAGGTTGACTGCATCACTTGGACAAGGGTAAGACCTTCCCGCCACCAAGATATAAGGAACTACCTTTCAGATAAGTTCTTATGGAATCGTGTATATATGGCCGATATTTGCCTATAGATACAAGTATAAACACGAGCAAGATTTATCTACAAGTGAAAGCATAATAAAACAAAAAACATTTTGACATTAAATAACCCAGCAATGGTTTACATGTCGTAAATTCCACCATAATTTATTTTATGTTTCGCATTTGATCTATTCTTAAAATAAAATCGTTTAATGCGCTGTTTTTACATAATCAATATTAGAATCACTAAACAGGATTAATTATGAATCCAATCCCTGTGTTGGTTAGTACACATTCTAGAAACAGGATGAGCAATTACGAAAAAGTAATAAACGAAACAAGATGACATACGCCTAGACATGAACAGTGGAATGAAAACAATCTACCCAAGTAGATTAATTAAAATGTATTAGAAAATATCCGATTCGACAGACATTTGAGAAGGTCGGAAGGTTCAAAGACCGAAACTTTGTGATAATAACAATAAAGATGAGGATATTAGTCTGAATTTTATAACGTAAAAAAATACTCCATTTCTAAATATTGATTAAACAACTGAACCCCGTGTTGATTCAATAACAATAGAATATACGTTAAATTATTTGAATAATTGTTTACATTAGTGGATCTCACGTATTAATCGTTTAAATGGCATTTTTATGCCAATCTTTACATCTTAACTCCTTAAAGGGTCTGTTTACTTTAAGTTAGAGTAGAAAGAACATGACTTAGAAGAAGAATCCATTTTTTTGCGTGTACGCGTGAAAGAGGAAGAAAAAAAATGACGGATAAAAATAGCATCAGACAACGGCCGTTATGTTAAAAGTTATCTTACTATTTACGCAAGGAAAGGAATTAGACAAGCGAAGTCTGTTGATGAAGAGGTTAGCTTGATGATAGATATGTCCGCCGAGTGATCTAACGGAAGAGCGGTTAGCGAAGCTAGCGACGCAGAAAAAAAGTGGGGAAGGTTTTTAAGCCTTTTGCTTCAATCATAATATCACAGAAACGCTGATACATGCGAGTAGGCGCCTGCCGTAATCTGATGGTTAGCAAACACGTCTCGCGGGCCAATAGGCTACTGTACAGACTTTGATCCTTATTGGGAGGCCCCTCCCCAAAAAGTTTAGTACTAAATTTAGCGAATGTTTTGGTAGTCTAATGAAGTCAGGTAGATTAAAATATGTCTCGCATGCTAGTTCGTTATTGCTGTGTGGCCATATTTATGACATTGAGCTTGATTAAACATGCGAATAACAATAGAATTATGATGCAAAAGAAAACCTATGATGATTTTTATTAAGTATATACGCATATACTGATATATATATATATATATATATATATATATATATATATATATATATATATATTAACACGACATAATTTTGATCACTTTAACCGTTCTTTTAGTTGATACCCATGATTGAATAGACGCTTCGTTTATTTATTTTAAACATTACTTTATTTTCTTATAACGGCCTGAATATTGAAGAAATGAAGGGCGTAAAAATATATATATATATATATATATATATATATATATATATATATATATATGTGTGTGTGTGTGTGTGTGTGTGTGTGTGTGTGTGTTTCGATAAATACGACTGAAAAGTCACTGCAACTAAGCTTTTTATTTAATTTTTCTTGTTTTCGTACAAGTGTTTACTTTCTGAACAAAAAAGTGTGTAAAAACTGTCCAAAAGCTCTGCATATCCGAGCGTTTTCGGCTATTCTTTTAGCCATTATCAAAGACAATTATTATTTTTAACTGAATGTATGTTTTTTATGTATGTATCTGAAGTTTTGGGAATGTAATATTTTACAAAAACGGTCAGCACGTTGTGGCCGTGTTCATACTTATTGACCGTTAGCTTTTTCTTTTTTATTATTAGTGCGTCCATTATTTTAAATCTTTTTTTTACATGTGAATAAGGCTAATATATTATGATACTATTACTATATTTTCTACTAGTATGTTGCGAATGGGGTTTGGTAGTTTTTCGTGTGTGTTTAAATGAGTCCTAATTGAGCTATGGTCAGATAGGTGTAACGTGAGGCGTCTAGATAGACATGTTGTGATATGACAAATTTAATTATTTGAGTTTGGTTTGATCAGGAACACGGTTCCTTAAGGGGCATGCGAATTCATAAATAGAATTGGTTCTCGGTAATTAAGATTTTGCAGGTGTGTTGTTATTGTTGATGATGAGGTTAGCTGTTTTGAATTTTTTGTAGTAGATAATTAATTTAACATATTGTTTTGGTCGACTGGCGTTTTGTATTTCTTTATGATAATTCTAAGAGAAAATTCGTCTTGTTTATAGTTAACATGTATTTGGCGTTTATTAAATATGTTAATGTTACTGTTTTTAACTGTATGTTAAGTATTGCTAATAGTTATTTTAGAAAGAAAGAGTCTAATCTGGTGGTCGATGAGGTAGTTAGAAAAACCATTGTTAACTAGCGTCAGTTTCACATTACATAGTTCTTTAACGAAACGGGGGCGAGAGATTTATGAGTTCACATTCCCCTTAAGGAACTGTGTTCCCAATCAAATAAAAGTTATAAATAATTATATTGGTCATAACACTATATGATTATCTAAACGACATACGTTATATATAAGTGAACAATTATGCCTGATGATTGCGTTTAGCATAAAGCAGTCTGTTGCCTCGGAGTGTTGACTTCAATGTTCACTTTTAAATTTACATACATTCTATCTCTGATATTGAGCACTTTATCCGATAAATATAGAACACCTTAAAACTATATACGCGTGTGTGTATACAAATATGTATATGTGTGTGTGTGTGAGAGAGAGAGAGAGAAAATCAGAGTTTGTGTGTGTGTGTGTGTGTGTGTGTGTGTGTGTGTGTGTGTGTGTGTGTGTGTGTGTGTGTGTGTGTATAATCTTTTCCTTCCAAGTAAGGCAACGGAGCCAATAAGACGTGGAGTGGGGTTACTAAGTGTGACAGAATACGAGAAAAATAATAACGGCCCGGCGTTGCCCGTGCTTGATTCAAAAATCGTACCACTCATACAGCAATCGCTATCACTTGACTTAAAATATTTTTGCCCTTACTTGCCTTTAAATGAGTGCCCTTTGCCGTGCTGATGTTGCTATATGCCTTACTTCTTGCCTATCTCACACTGCGAATTTTTTCTAAGCTCTATACTAAACATTAAATTTGTTACGAAAAAAGAACTAAACAAAATGAACACAAAACGATGAGCTTTAAAAAAGGACTTGTAACTGGAAAAACTGAATGAAAAAAAGAATGTTAACAACAAATGCTTTTTCACACCCAACCCAGTTCTGCGGAATCAGAATCAACGTTGAGTTTAAGCAAGCGAATGAGCCAATTGGAGTAAAGTGCCATGCAGATTTAAATTTTTCCCACTCGTGACGAAAAATTTAAATCTGCATGGCACTTTATGGCCTTTCCACTAACTTGGAGCATGTGCTTGTAAATTTTGGTGCAAATCCGTCGAAAATTGCGGCCGTGCATTCGTTACACACATACACACACACACATACATCCTGAGATAGAGATGCGACAAATCTTTATTACTTGAAACGTTATTTTTAGTGGATGCCCGTATTTGAGTAGAACGTCCCGTTTTGTTTTGTTTTTGTTTTTAAACAGTATTTATAATTATGGGGCGGGGATAGAAGAGGTGGATTCATGACTTTCCCCAATGTTATTTGTGCGTAAGTGAATATAAGGAAACTAACTGAAATTGGAACTCATCTCTCGGATTACCAATTCCGAGGAGGAAATTTTCCTGCATTCACTTCCATAGAAGATAATTGATATTACATCGCTGTTCAAAGATCTTTTTTTCCTTGTTCTAATAAAATCTTCTTGTTTCTTAATACCTTGTTTAGTTTTCGGAAAGCAACTTAGACCATTCCAATGTTTAACAATATTTCGACAATATGTCTGTCTTCTTGAAGTTATGTTTAAAACTTGCGCACGCACATAAAAATGTTTTTAAACAAACATTGTACTAGTAAAACGCATTCAGTGTGAATGAAATGCAAATGAAGCGCGAGTAACATGATGGTGATCGTGCTCATTTTGAAATTCTCCTTTAGTTGATTAGTTAGTAAGAGCAATTAATCCAATAGTTTGGTATAAATCTTATGGAACTCTCCTGTCATTTTGTTCATTCTCCACCACGAGCCGGACGTTAGTAGCTCATTATTATTATTATTATTATTATTATTATTATTATTATTATTATTATTTCGTCTTGAAAAGAGTTGCTGATCACAATGAGGCAGACACTCCAGTAGGCAATTTCAACCGGTTATTCAAACGTTTACTGATTCAGAAAAGCCCGCTTCCCTCGGCTTCAACTTAGCACAAACGAATGCCAAAGAACACTTAGTCGGCCATTAAGAGACGCCACTTCGGCCAAAGTCGAGCAGATAAAAGTCTTTGGCGAAACAGAAGCCTTTTCTTTCTGCATCTGATTTTTCGAGTGCTTTTACTATGAAATCAATTCTCTGACGATGACAAGTGTGGGTTACCGGGGCTGTTCGACTGAACCATGGATCAAAGTATCAAATCAAGAAGAGCTGTACACGCAAGCCAAACACTCCAAACTTTTAAGAGGATCTTAAAACCGAATTGAATATTTTTCCAATTTTTATTAATTTATTCTCGTCGGAGCGAAGTGGGAGATTTTAGAAGTATGTACGAATGCAAATGTTGTTGGATCTAAGTTGAACATTTAATCAATTAAGGATTGGTACTCAGCTCTATGTAAGAATTCATTTTTTCGTTATCAGCTCGCATATATAAAGGAAACATACTCTGCATTACCCTCATTCTCTTTTCCATCATGTCGTCAAGTGTGATAGACAACATTTACAGAGTTAAAAATAATAGGAAAAAATAACCAATATTTCAATGGAAAGTCGAGTAGATTACTGAATGTTAACACAGTAGAATCATGGGTATTTATTAAGGTGCAGCCTCCAATCACTAAAGTCATATGTAGACGTCGTCATTGGCTAGTTAAAAAATAAAGCACTGAAAAGCACATGTAGAGATTGTCATTGCTCAGTTAAAAATGCACTGAAAACAAAAATCACGGCGAAGATGAAAGCTATAAATAACTACAAGTAACTGACCAAAATCCATAATAGCCGAACATTTGATAAAGGGTTGATAATATATATATATATATAAATATATATATATATATATATATATATATATTGTGAAAGACATTTGTTTGATGCAACAGTGATGTTTTTAGCTGCGGTTCATTAGGGGTTTCGGGTCTTTCAACATTATACCCCCTCTCCACGGAGACCCAGCAAATTCTGATCGGATATCGATTTTGGTACCTTCCGTCAGCTAAAACATCCTTCATTTTTAATCACACAATGCAACTTCTCTTGGCAATCACTTATAACTTCCGGTTTGCAAGCAATCTCCGCTCTTCCATAAGAAAGGAAGCATACACAGTACCGGTTTCGCTCTGGTAAGGAATATGGCGACGCACTTGTCTTGAAGTGGTAAGTAACGATTTTGGTTTCCCCTCACTGAAATATATATGCACAAACACGCACACACGCAGGAAACCGATTGTACTCATTCTTATTTTATTTACATTCACGTTAATCATCAATCAACAACAACAAAAAAACACTCTCGCCAATATATATATATATATATATATATATATATATATATATATATATATATATATATATATATATATAGGAGTTTAAAAATATTCGCACTTTCCCATCACATATCTTTTACACTATTCATGCATACTTATGAGTGGTAAAATTGTGGTCACATGATCGAAGTTTGACCTTGATCGCGACAGTTTTCTTGCTGCTGTTACAGTGCAAACATGGCCGCTCCGCTAGCAGTGAGCACCAAGAAAAAAAAAATCGCAGTGATCAGAGCCTGCAGAGAGCAGGCTACCTCATCGATGGTAACACGCCGGTTTGCCATTGCCATCTCTCGAGCGCGCTGAATCTTCTTGTCAGTGGCGGAGGTTAACGGGCGACTTGTACCTTCTTCGTGATTTCACGCTTGTCTGGCCACTTTCAAACGTCTCTGTCCACTCATACACATTTCTACATGGTAATGTTTGTCTCTACACTACATTCCATGATTCCTTAAACAGAATATATATATATATATATATATATATATATATATATATATATATATATATATATATATAAAGTAAATTCAGGTTTGTATTTCCAGTATGTAAGCAAATATATGGATATACGTTATAAAGTAAATTTGCTTACATATATATATATGATTATTTGTTTAAAAATATGATTCCATCACTACATAAGAGTTCTCATGTTTCAAAACAAGAGCCGAAAACTTCAATATTGAATAATTATATTTAGGCTCTACTTTTGTATCGAGCACTGTTTTTTTAAAAATAATAACAAAAATACTAAAGAACTTTGGATTATTTACCTAACGAGTTCTTTCCAATTTTCTATATATTTTCACACACACACACACACACACACACATATATATATATATATATATATATATATATATATAGATAGATAGATAGATAGATAGATAGACACGTCTACAAAAAAACAAAACAATAACCTATCCAGTGGCAAAAGTTGCTGGTGGTGCCAGAGGTGCCAGCACCGCCTTAGCCACTGAAACTGTGTTACCCCCACTGGTTGGCGGTTGACGAGGGCAGGGTATTCCACGTGCTTTCACACTAGTAAGTACCTGATACTTCATGTTATCCTCTGCCTTTACAAGAGCCAGATTAGGCCGAAAATGGAGTACTGCTGTCATACTTGGGCCGGAGCTACACATTCCTCACTTTTCAGTCTCGATAGAGCCCAAAATGGTCTCTTCATCCTTGTGGGGGACAAATTATTTTTCACCCTGCAACCCCTCTCTCACAGAAGGGATATGGCAAGCCTGTCACTCTTCTATCGCTACTTCTATGGAAACTGTGCGGACGAACTGAATTCCTTGGTTCTACAAGTTCTTGTCTTCACGGTTAGAACTCGCTATGCCACTCACATTGTAGCAAACCACTCTCATTCCCTCCGCATTACATTCGGGAAGTTCCACACGACCAGCTTCTTCCCGCGAACTACTGCTCTGTGGAACCAATTCCAAAGATGATGTTGCCCAGATCACTACAATATTAACCGGTTCAAGTCTAGGGTTAACCGTTATTTTCCCCACCTATCCCCATAAATTGTGCCTGTAATTCTCTACATCGAGTGCCCCCCGAGCCTTGTAAAGGGTGAACCACACCGAAAAAAATCTATCTCAGTCTGTTTCTATCTATCTATCTATCTATCTATCTATCTATCTATCTATCTATCTATCTCAGTCTGTTTATACAGGGAGTGATGGGTATATTGTCGCCATTTTACATTTTTTAATTTCGCGCATGCGCGTTGATTTTTTTTAATTTTTTTCGACTGCAAGAGTACCATGACGTAATTCACTCCATCTCGCCAAATATTTGAAAACAGCATGCTGTACGTCTTGGCATTCGCGCCGGAAGCTTCAATGCGCCCATTCTAGAGTGATTGCGCGTCAATCTAAGGACAGTGCAAAGGATTCGAAAAGAGTTGGATGAGGCTAATGGTGATTACGAAGGTACGGCTGCTCGGAAAACTCACTCTGGTTGTTCTGATAAGAAAAAGTCCCGAATTTATTGGTGAGGCCCTCAAACTCAACACGGAGGCCTACATTAAGTGCCTTAATGAGGTACTGCTGCCCTGGGTCAAGAGGGTGGCTTCTCGACTGGCAACAGGACTCTACACCATGTCACACAAGCAGGAGAACCCAGTCATGGCTGTCAGACAATTTCTACGGCAACACCCCTTATATTTGGCGACCTAACTCCCCAGACTGTAACCAACTTAATTGATGTGTGGGCAGCAATTGAGCGAGAGACCAGCAAAACTCCTTGTAACTGAAGGCAAGGATTATGGCAGCATTCTCCAACTTAAATAAGGAGACCGTCCAGAAGAGTTGCAGAAGATTCCGAAGTCGTCTGAAAGCCATGGTTGAAGCCAATGGCGATTTTATTAAATAAATTTACTCTTTAGTATTTCAAGATATTGTTGTGTAATTTTGGTAAATATATCTGTTAAAATGAAATGACTGTGATTTTCATTTTTGCGTAATTTAGATGACTGACTATCTATCTATCTATCTATCTATCTATCTATCTATCTATCTATCTATCTATCTATCTATGTTTACATCTATTTATCTCAGTCTATTTCTATCTATCTATCTATCTATCTATCTATCTCAGTCTATTTTTATCTATCTATCTATCAAATCTATCTATCTATCTATCATACTCTTTTTACAGCTAACTCAATGTGTTTATATCTGTCTAGCTATCTTCCTATCTCAGCCTTGTTATATCTATCATACTCTGTTTACATCTATCTATCTATCTATCTATCTATCTATCTATCTATGTCCATATCTATTTCGCTAGCTAGCTGTCTTAATTTCGTTTATCTCTCTATATCTAGCAAGCATAATAATTACCTTCATCACTCCTCCGTCCTTAAAAAAAATCAAAACCAGAGGATATAGCTTTCTTTTTTGGCTAACTTTTAACGTTCCCACAAATTTCCATTTTATTCTTTTTACTTTTATCATTATTATTAGATCGAGATTGAATTATTAATGTTCATTCAATAAATTGCCCCACCTCTCACCCACCAAGCTCAACGACAATCGAGAACAAAACTGTTCACCAGAATGTTTCAATGCCAAACAGATACTCAATACTTCTTTCCTATTTTTTTATGTCAATCCTGATAAAAAAAAGAAAAGGAAAGAAAAGAAATGGATAAAATAAAATAAAAATAGTATTAAAATAATGTTGGGGGCAAAAAGGTTTGATTTTGATCAATGGATGAGCGGGGCTGTCGCGTTACAGATTAACACCTTCAAACAAATTAGTTTCGTTCAGATGGTCTGTTTCAATCATTTCCGATATTTTCCCTTTGTTTTCAGGAGCACACGCGAAACGAGAGAAATTATTTGACTGTGCAAATATGACTCACATGACTTTCACATATTGTTTGCCAGCGCCGCTGAATAAATTATGCTGCAACGTCTCGTCCATTTGTGTTTAATCAATCGAAACGTTTTGAAAGAGACGCCATTTTGGTGGCCATTTTTTTATTTTGGTTCATTTTTTTGCATTTCCTGATCACTTCTCTCTCTCTCTCTCTCTTTCACTCTCTTTATTTCTCTCTCTCTATATATATCTCTACTGCCATGAATAGATGATGATCATGACAATGACGACTGCACTCTTTATAAATTTAATTCTTTTTGGAGGGAGACATTCATGTTCAATGCAAACTTTTACTTGAAAGACCTGGTGATTCCATGTTAAAAATCTGTCTGCCATATTTCCACGACCTGCGTTAATTTTTTTCGGTTGTGAATGTCGTGGTAGTTGCTGTTGTTATAGTTGGATCAAAATTAATTTCTTGTACTTTTCTCATTTTCCTTGAATTTGATCATTTTCCTAATTTATTCTTTGTTTTCAACTTCCTTCCGGATCATTTCTTCTTCAATAACTTGTACAATTGCTACTGCTCTTTCTTCTTTGTCTTTTTCTTCTATAACTTTTTCCTTTAATTTTAGTCTTTCTCTTTTCTTTCCATTTCATTTTTCGTAGATTCATTCTCAATTACTTCATTCATTTTTTCTCTTTCAGCTTATCTTTTATCACAATTATTTAATCATCTTTTTCATTTTTTTACTTTCTCCTCCTCCTCCTCTTCCTCCTCCTCCTCTTCTTCTTCTTCTTCTATTCCATTCTTCTCCCTCTTCTATTCCATTCTTCTTCTTCTTCTTCTTCTTCTTCTTCTTCTAGTACGATCTTCGAAGTTAAGCAACGTCGAACTTGATCAGCACCTAGATGGGTGACCCCTTGGGAATGCCAGGCGCTGTAAGCTTGGATGTGTGGGTGGTGTAATGGATAACGACTCAAAATTGGAAATCGAAGAACCGAGTTCCAGTTCCAGTTGCGTTCATTGTATTCACTTACGCACTAATACTCTTGGGAAAGGTATGAATCCATTATTTTCCTTCCCACCTTCACCAGCTATGGGTTAATTATATTAACTTGTATCGGTAAACCATTCTTATCCTCAAAAATTCTTAGAATCTAAAAATATTTTCTGGCTTTAAATAACCTGGAAAATGTTCGTAAGATATAAAAAAAAACCAAATCAATCAGTTCTCCCAAACGTATTTAGTTACTAAGCAGTCTTTAGATTTGGCACTGACCTACAATTAAAGATAACTTAGGGATGACTAAACCTCCCACCTCGTACGTACAATCTGTGAGATTAGATGACGAAATATCTATCTCTACCCTAACTTCATTGCAGCCTAAACTTGTTCTTACTGCTAATAAGTGCAATTCACTGATGTGCAGGCATACGTTTGCAGGTGTTGTTTTGTTTATGAAAATTATTTGTGTTTCCAGAGGAAAAATAGTTTCAATTTGTATTTTATATTTTTGCTTTGTTACGTTTTACTGGTATTTTTAATTTAAGATAGGCACGCGTAGCCGGCTGGTTAGAACGTTAGTATTCCGACCATGAGGTGCGAGTTCGAATCTTCATGAGTTGGGAAGTGCCTGGAAACCATGTCAAATGCTGACCCAAGTCTTGTGAGTGAAGCCGCCAAGAAGTATGCAAGTTTGCAGTCAAAAGTCCTCGTGGCCGAGGGTTTGAGTGTTCTGGCCTTATTCAGCTGCTGATTACACCAGATTACGCTTTTTTTACTGGAAGGTCTGCTTAGCATAGCCACCATAGAAAAAACATATTGAATAGGTATAAATGTGCCTCTGTAGGCATCTGCAGTAGGGATTATCTTTCTACCCTACTCGGATACCTTACACCAGTATTTGTCTCTATTTCTTTATTGTAATTATTTACATTATTTACATTATTCGGATTGTTGTCCTCATCTTTGTTGCCATATTCTATCTATCTGCCTGTCTTCAAGGACACGTGGCCCAGTGGATAAAAGCGTTGGCTGAAACCAGTGACTTCACCCAAAGATCAGTGAGTTCAATACCTGGCTACAGCTGAGGTGTACAAAAACTTGGAGAATTGAGTTAAAGGGGGAGAATTGAATTAAAGGGAGATAAATGATACGGGGACATCCGGAAGAGGCATGGCACGTGAAATTAGAACAATGTCGTCAAATTAAATGGTTCAATAAAGATGAGGACAACAGGTCGAACAATGTAAATTGTGTAAATAAGTATCCACCCATTATCCCATTATTTATTTAAGAAATATAAATAAAGAAAAACTCAAGGTATAAGAGATATGCTGTACTTCTTGCAAAGATTTTGTTAATATCTTCTCAATTGCGCGGTTCTGTCTAATTCTTCCCCCCTCTGTCGAAAGAGGTTATGCGTGTCCTAGATGACAACCGTCGAATGTGCTGTTCAACCTGGTCCTCTCTCTGATAATTATTAACTACCCACTTCTGCCTGGTTATTCTCTTTCTCTCTCTCCCCATCTTCCTCTCACTGTTGACAGCTGACCAGTTGTGTTTGGTTCTTCCCTTTCTGTCAGTTGTCAACATTTCCATGCTGCCTGCTTTTTCCTACTCTGTCGAAAGGCAATTGCCCGGTTCCGCCTAGTTCATCTCTTTTTGACCGTAGTCAGCTGACCGGTCTTCCCCGGTTTCATTCTCTATGTCAGCAGCCGACTTCCCTGTTGTGCCAGGTTCATCTCTTTGTCGACAGTATACCGCCCGGTTCCTCCCATCGGCAGTCAGCTTCCCGGTTCAGGCCTGGTTATCTCCTCTGATGTGACAGTCAACTGCCTGTCTCTCTCCACTCTGTTGACAGTCAATTGTCCGTATAGCCGAATACACACCACAACTTGACCGATCAAGGCCAAATACCTTCTTTTATATTCACACGTCGCAAATAATTACACCCATAATTAAATTCACGTAATCTTATCATACGCCTTTATTAAATCGGACTACTTTAATTTTGACGCATACTTTAACATTGACATGTTATAATGACGTATACTTTAACATTGACGTGCTATAATGACGTATACTTTAACAATGACGTTTATAATGACGTATACTTTAACAATGACATGTTATAATGACGTATACTTTAACATTGACGTTTTATAACGACGTATACTTTAACATTGACGTGTTATAATGACGTATACTTTAACATTGACGTGTTATAATGACGTATACTTTAACATTGACGTGTTATAATGACGTATGCTTTAACATTGACGTGCTATAATGACGTATACTTTAACATTGACGTGCTATAATGACGGATACTTTAACAACGACATGTTATAATGACGTATACTTTAACATTGACGTGTTATAATGACGTATACAACAATGAATTACTGCAGACAAGGAATAAAATTAAATGCAGGAAAAAGAGAAAATATATAAAAAAGGAACATGAAAAGGAAGCGGGAATAAACTGCCCAGAAAGAAAAAATGATGAAGAAAGGAAAACCAGCGAAAGAGAAACGAAGAAAAATGAAAGCAGAAGAAAACAAGAAAGAAGAGAAAGAAAACGACAAGTTAAGAATAAAATAAAAGAAACGGCATGAAAATACACGCCAGAACTTGACCGCTCAAGCCAAATACCTTCTTTTATAAACTCCTCATGTTATCCTCAACCTTCATAAGAGCCAGATCAGGCCGAAAATGGAGTATTGTTGCCATATTCGGACGGGCTACCCAGACCTCACTTGCCAGTTTTCAAAAACGTTTCAGAGTCCGTGTTGGAGAAGAATTAAAGTCCACACTCCAACCGCTCTCTCACATGTGGGATATAGCGTTCTTCTCTATTGCTACCTCCATGGAAAGTGCTCAGACGAACTACATTCCTTGGTTCTTTTTCACGGCTAGGACCCACCATGCCACTCACACTGTAGCAAACCACCTACATTTTCTCCGTATTCCATCGGCGAGAAATAAGTTCAACTTGAACATCTTCTTCCCGCGAACCACTGCTCTGTAGAACAATCTCCCAAGAGAATATTTCCCCGAACACTGCAATCTTAACCTGTTCAAGTCTAGAGTTAACTGCTGTCTTTCCCTCCTAGTCATATTAACTACCCCTTAAAGTAAACCTCTATCGAGTGGCACCCGGTTTTTGTAGAGGATGACCCTTACTGTAGAAAAATGAATGGAAAAAGGATGATAGTGAATAGAAAAGAAAAAAAAAGCACAACTAAACGAGAAAAAGAAACAAGGACTTTAAGAAAGAAAGAAAACAGAAAGAAAAGAAAAAAAGAAAGAAACAACGTATGTCTAAAAAAAAAAAGGAGTCGAAGAGGACAAAGGAAAAAAGAAGTTGTGATAATTGAAAAGACTACTAAACTAACATATGAGCAACGACAAAATTTTAAAGAAAATGGAAACAAAAAGGAAACTTATACTTAACATCAGGAAGAGACAATTGAAATTACTGAAGAAGGAGGGTTTGGAAAACCTGATATTCACAACACAAATTGAAGGCAAGAGGGACATAGGAAAACAACGCATAACGTGACCTTTGTAAATGGATGGCGGGTCAAGGTTGAGGAGAAGTAACAGAAAGATAAAATTTATTAAGAGCTACAAAGGACAGGAAGTTGTGGAGAGCCATAATCGCCTACGTCCTGATGAAACACGGCACATAAAAAATGTTATGGTGGCATGTACCAAGGCCCTGTGTTTATCGAGGTTGTCGCGCCAAGGCCCTGCGTTTAGCGAGGTTGTCGCGCCAAGGCCCTGCGTTTAGCGAGGTTGTCGCGCTTATCAAATCACAACCTCGGTGTTTCTCAATCTTTTTTTAAACAACTGCCACCTAGGAACAAATGCAAACATCACGGCACACTTAGCGTAAAAAAAGGTGTATATTTAAATGTTCAAAAACTTCGACAATATTAATTCATAAATAAATACAATTTTGTAAAAATTTTGAGCCAATCAAAGAATTTTGAATAGAATTATATGAAAAAAAAAAAGATGTTAATATTCATTTATTCAAATACAGGAAAATTTTAAAAAGTTAAATTAAAAACAATACTTCAAAAAAAAATGAATATTAGACAAAAGTATTTAAAATAAAAAAAATCGAAGAATAGCGAAAAATTTATTTGAAAAAAAAGTTTTCATCATCTATTCATTATATAATATATATATATATATATATATATATATATATATATATATATATATATATATATATATATATATATATATATATATATATATATATATATATGCCATAACTTGGACACCCCGGCATGGTGTAATGTTTTGCAAACTTGTCTTACTAGATCAGTTACGACTGAAAAGTTAGTTCGATCCTCACGAGGTGACCTATAATTTCGGCCTTGTGCCACATCGAAGCTACGCTTAGAAAATCAATTGGGCAGCTCGAGACGGTGTAATAGTTAGCAAGCTTGTCTCGCTAGAACAGTTAAGATTGAGTAGTGACTTTGATCCTCACTGAGTGCCCCCACTTTCGAAAATTGTGCCACATCTAAGCTGCACTTGGAAAATCACTATACGTATTATCACGTCATACATATAGTGATTTTCCAATATTATCACTATTTCGCGGCCCACTTGTGTACCTCGGTTGAGAATCACTGCACTAATGTAACGAGTTCAATCCTTGTTGCTGCTCTGTGTCTGCCGATGCTTAATAAATAAAAACAAAGAATGAAAGTGAAAAAAGGGAAAAGGCGGCAATATAAAGAAATGTGGCTTTGAAATGTCGGATGGAAATAATTAAAGAATAATTGACAGAACGAAAGAACTCTAAAAAAAAAGGGTATATAAGATCGAACGGAACGAACTCCAGTACACATCGCAAAAACTTATATTAAACTTCGCGTTTTTATTCCTCAATCTGCTAAAATGACAAGACAGGTAATAAAGTCAAGGATATCCGTTTGGATTTTCTCACGTTTTGTTTTTAAAATCGATAAGTTTAACGTTTTGTCTTTTTCTTCTTTAAGCTTTATTTGTTTAATCATTTCATTTATTTTCTCTGAATTTTTTTCCCCGAATTATCGTGTATACTTTTTTAACCCCATTCTCTTATACCACTTCTCACTCTACAAGTGCTTTTGATACCATGTCGCCCCCGTACTGCCGGCCGCATGGTTGGGTCAAATGAGACTAAACCAGTTTCACCACCAGACTTTTCTGGTGAGAAGTTGTGACACACCTATCAAACCTGTTAAAAGTCGGTCAAACCTTCTTGTAGGGTCAACGGTCATCTAGCACATTGAAGTACACTAGGAGGGTCTTCCTGTATGCATCCGGTGCGGTACTAACACTGAATCGCTGGGTGGTGGGCATTCCTATACTGAAATCAAAAGTCAAGGCGGAGGGTACCCCCAATGGTATCAACTGCCAGTTTTCAAGTTGGAGGACATCGGCTGTAATTCAGCCTGAAGTGGGAGGGACTCCGCCACACCTAGCTGCCCAAGACGCGCTACGCATGAATGATAGGGACGATCATTTGGTCATTTATCGTACTGATGATGATGATGGTGATGGTGATCCTTTTCACCCCATCAAATATTTTTTTTGTCTTTCTTGGAGGTTTACTTGCTTGTTTTTTTAGGGTTTTTTTTTTATTTCTTTCGTTCTTTTTTTCTTCCTGTTTCTTTTTTTTTTCTTCGTTTCTCTTTCTTGTTCTCTTACTTTATTTCGAATTTTTTTTCTGATTTTTTTTCTTTCTTTGTGAAAATCACAAGATTTTTATTCTTTTTGTTTCATTCCTTTTTCTTCTTTTGCTTTTTTTGTTTGTTTTTTATTTTTCTATTAGTTGTCTTTCTCTTTTCTAGCCTCAAACTTCTTTCTTTCTTTCTCATTTCTTTCTATGAGTTGTTGTTGAAAAATTCTCAGTCTATGCCACTTCTGATAATCTGACCAAATGACCAACCATCAGTTTATATATATATATATATATATATATATATATATATATATATATATATATATATATAATTGGTAATTATACAGAATGAATTTCAATAACCAACAATTACTATTCTTAAAAGAGTGCTCAATACAGAGTAGAGCAGATATAATTATTTATTTTAAAAATTATAACATAAATATGTTATAAAATCACTACAAAAATAGCCGGAGGTGTTGAAACGAAATGGCTATTTTTGTAGTGATTTTATAACATATTTATGTTATAATTTTTTAAAATATATATAAAGTTGCAAATTAAAAAAATAATAATGTTTTTTATGAAAGTATTTATTTATTTATTTATATATATATATTTGATATTTCAGATTGACCTCAATCTTTCTTTTGTTACAAATAAATTAAAATTACTGTTTATTTACAAGTAGCGTCCGTTGCAAGACGCGGACGTCACGTGATATGGAACGCCACTGTGTTCGAATATTCCTAACGTAAATTTAACTGTAATAATATTTTAGATGTTGTTTAAAATTTTTAACTATATCTAAAACAATGTTTAACTATTGAGATATTTAATAAGATTTAAAATACCCAAGTCTTTATTTAACCCTAGTTTATATGTATTTAAATTTAAAATCCAGTATTTTTTCTCATTATGATATATATATATATATATATATATATATATATATATATATATATATATATATATATATATATATAATGTACGAGGGTCAGTTAAAAAGTTCACTCAGACAGAAGGGCCACAGATGAACATTTTTGTTGTGGCAACACACTACCGCTTCTTATAAAACTAGAAAAACTAATTCAGACTTCGGTTTTAATCTCTGTGCAGGTGAGGTCC